GGGGGGGAAGCAATAAAATCTAGCAACAAGGAGAGCAGACCAGCTAGCATGAGCATCTGGAAACAACAGGGGGCAGGAAGCAGGTGGAAAATTTCCTATTTTACTCAGCTGTTGACAGTAAGGGGTTTAAGCAGTTATCTGCTTAAATGCTGCTTACCTCAGGCTGTCACTTTTAAGCTACCACTCAGGCTGTTCTGGAGAAACTCTGGGCTAATACTCCAAGTTTCCTTTTCCATAAATGCTGTGACTCCCAAAAAGGTGTAACCTGAAAGGTGCTGAACCATCGACTATCTAAGCACAGCCATAACCCCCAGGCCGGCACTCACGGGCTGCTCCATGCTTCTTCCTTGATTCTGGGCACCCTCAGTCTCTCACGGTGCATCTCTGCCACTTACAGCCCATGAACTGCTCCTTCTCCCACCTTACCTGAGCTTAGGCTGTATTTCCTCCATTGGCCCCCTCGCCAGGGTGCCTTCCACATCAGCACCCTATGTCCAGCACCTTCCACAGAACCTCTGGGCCCTTCCCTCTTTACTTCAAGAATCACCTACCCATCTAAGATGTCAACTTGAAATTGTTCTTTAATTTAAATACACTGACTTAAAACTGTTATGATTTTATGGGTATAATACATTTATTAAGCATCTTTATAACCACCTGAACTCAACTATAGTACCAGGCAACGTGGGTGTTCAAAAAAAAAAGCATCTGTGTGAAGCAGGAAGGATTAAATGAGCTTCTGAGCAAGCAGCTGGGGTAGGATTAATCCCTAGGGCTTGGTGGCAGAGGGAACTCCAGCTAATAAATAAAGGACTAGATACTATGAGTCACTTATATGTGAGCCTCTCATACCTGGAGAAATTTTCTAAACCAGTCCTTTTGGCCTTTCTTTACCATTTTGGTATGGGAAAAGACTTTACAGCTATTCCTTGAAGCATGCCCAGAGCAGCCACAACTATAGGGTGTATCAAAAAAATGTATATTACACACTTTGAATAATTATAAAGGCCATGTGTATTAAAATAATTTCATTTTCAAAATCAATCTATCAGCTGTAAAAGTGTATATGCATTTTTCTGGGACACCCTGTATTAATGAACAATAACTCTTGTTCCTGAATACATTAGCCTTTAAAGAGAGTTCTGCTCCAGGAAGGGTGGCGCACAGCAAATATGCAGAGATAAACCTCCCTGTATCGATTTCAAGACTAGTCTATGCTGGGTAAGGGAAGCAAAAAGGTACACATAACCAGTGCATCCCCTTAGAAAGACTTATTTAATCCATGGCCTCTGCTAATACTATCAGTGCAAGGGGATAAGAGATTAGAATGAAATTTATAAATTGTTCAGAAATAAGAGAACACTACTGGCTGTTCCTTGCCCTGAACAAAGTAAACAAAAGATAAAAGCTTTTTCACTTCAATCCTAATTGGCCTGTTTTAGTTCTAAGTCAACAATGGGGAATTCCTGACATTCAATATTACCTGAGCACGTAGGTGGGAATAAACCTGTGGAGCTGACATTTTGAGCAAGGACCTGGATCAGCTCTAGCCTAGAAGCTTTTTGCAAGAGCTTGTCATCTAAGAAAATGACTCAGGGATGAGAACACATTTGGCCTTATCTTGACACAACTAAGAGAGTCATTATTTTACCTTCTCACTAAAGGCACTGTGGAAGGTGGCTTGTCACTCAACCCAGCAACGGAGTCATGGTATAACTGTTCCCTCTCATGCTGGCTGCTCCGGGTAGAAAGAAAGAAAAGCATTTTCTGCCTTTGTAGCCTCCACTTCCTAGGTTAGCTACAGAGCTAACAAGTTGCCAGGTACATCAAAGGCAGAGTAACCAGCTGACCTGTACCTGAGTTGGGGCTGATTTGGCTTCAACCACAGGGCTAAGAAAAATAACTCATGAGGACAACTATTGGTTTAAATGGAGTGTACTGTGGTTTTGTGGCATCCTGGCCTTCATCCAACCTCACTCTGAATTTACCTCAGTTCTGAGATGCCTCACCTTTACATCCTGAGATCAGTTACACCCTGGGGCTGGCTCTGCCAGTCACCTTACTCCACCTTGGCACCCAGCTTTGGCTCTTGATCTGATCATCATGCTGAAGCCTTAACCTCTAACTCAATCTCCTTCTCTTACCTCAAAGTTTTCTGTTCTGATTCCATCTCCTGTCCCTGGAGCTCAGCACTTGGTCCCTGACCCAGAAAGAGAGCTCTGGCCAGAGGCTCACAAAGGGCCTGCCCACCCAAGAGGCACTCTTGTCTTTCCCTCCTGTGTGGTACCTGGAGATACTGCTGCTCTTCCTTGAAAGTCTTCTCCAGCTGCTCCACTCTGGCCTGCTGCTGGGCCTGCTCTGCACAAAGCTGGGACTGTAAATCCTGCAGTTCCTGCTCCATCTGTACAATATTCTTTGAGTCCCCTTTCTGGGTCTGCTTTTTCTCTTTCAGGACAGCCACCTGTTTTTCCTGCATCTGTGTCCTAAGCTTCAGAATCCTAGACATGGTCACCTTGAATAGCTCTAGCCTGCTCTGAGATGCTAATGGGTTTGAGGCTTTCTGCTTCTTATGATGAAGCGCCAGGACTTTGGCGGGGCCAGAGTAAGTATGAGCCCCTGTGATGTTCTCACTTGGCTCAAGAGAAGTCAACTGAGGTTCCAAATGTTCAGAGGGTCCAGTGGGCACTTCACCTTTCCCATGTGACTTCAGTGCTTGACCAGGTTCACAAGACACTTTACTTATTTTGAATTTCAAGTGTGAGGGGCCTTCTGCTTCAGGACCCTCTATTTCATCCAAACTACATTTCCTTTTAGTTCTCAAGCCCTTATTTTTTTCCATCTGGTCACTCGTTGGGGCAAGATGCGGATACATCTTCTCCCAGTCTTCTTCAGTAACTTCATATTCATACTCTGCACTCTCCTTATTTTCCAGAGGCACCCCCAGCTGAATGCGGTCTCCTATATGGAGAGAATAGACCTCTAAAGGTTCTAGACGTACTCTGTTCAGCCAAACGCCATTCAGACTCTGGGAAAAGGGAAAGAAAGACGAAATAAGCTTCATGATTTTCCTCCTCTTAATGGAATGTCTCCCCTGCTGCTGCAAAACCTTCAGCCTTTTCAGAAGGAAAACCCTTGAGAACAAATAGAAAAGAAAGGTTCATAAACTACTGTCCTTAGGAATAGCATTCTTCAAACAGCACTTTGGCTTTTTACCTATATTTCACATTCATGCCTCCACAGAGAACTGCCTGTATAACAGGCAGGAATCACCTTATTACTGGTGGATGAATTACTCAAATAAATGCAGTAGCACTGAAAGAAACTGAAATTTAACAGCTCCTATTGACCTAAACTGGAGGTAATGGCCCAGGACTAAAAAAAACTGCTCTTAGTAAAGAAAGTGGCATCTAATGATGAGGCTCAAAAGGTAGGCTCGACCAGGGAAGTCACGCAAGCACTGTCTCTGGATGTGCCCCCTGAACAAACTGGTGAATGAGCAAAGCACTTCCCAGAACACATAAATCAAAAGAGTACCAATACTTGTCCTGGGGTCAAACCACAGGTGGGATCTGACCCAGTTAATAGCACCAGAAGTCCATGGGCATATGGTATAGTGGTTAAGAGCTGGAGCTCTGGACTCAGATAGACTTGGGCTCTTAACCTACTGCACCACCCTGGGCTTATTAGTTGCATGGCCTTCGGCAATTAACTTCTCTGTGCTTCAGTTTTGTCTGTAAAATAGGGATAGTACAGCACCTACCTCATATGATTCCTGTGAGGAATAAATGAGAAAATACATGTAAAACACTTAGCACAGTGACTCACATATAAATGCTTTACGGTTTTAACTAAATCATAGTTTAGGGGTCAAGAGCATGGACCCTGGAGTCAGACTGCCTGAGTTTGTAATCTGGCTCCATCACTTAATAGCTGTGTGACTTTGGGCAAGTTTCTTAACCTCTCTATACCCCAGTTACCACATCTATAAAACAGAAAATAATATAGTCTCTCCCTCATGCTGTTTGTGCGGATATAATGAGATAACACATGTAATATCTTTAAAAAGTGTCTGGCATATGGTAAGTGTTATATAAGTGCTTTCTACTATTGTTATGTTCTGGCTCGATTTATCAACAATCACTTCAATTCTATGCTCAGCATCTCGCAAGGTAAATATACTGAGTGCAAAATTGGAAGACATGAAAACAACTTTTAGCAACTGACTGTAGAAAGCAAAACACTAGGGTACATATAAGTAAATGTGGGATTATACAACACAGCCTATAAATGCAATGGAATATTATGTGAAGCTGAGTTAGCTAAGAGGTGCTAAATGGGAATGATGGATTCTGAAACACTTGAAACAAATGCAGAATTTAGAGTTTAAAGAAACAAGTGGGCATTTTAACCCATATCAAGGACTTAATTTTGGGGGAAAGGCCAGAGATGGAGCTCACAGCTGAAATGATACTAAGATTTACGTTTCTGTTGGTAACTATAACTACCTACTTTTGGCTACAATTACCTGGTTAACCCAAATATGAGAGATGGGGGCTTGACACAGAGGATGAAGGGGAGTAGAGATCAGTGTCAGCTCTGGTTTGGTATTAGGCTCTTGTTTCTGGTTTATATCCTTTGGCTCGAGCGGGAAGAGGGAGAGAAAGCTGAGCATGCACACACACACACACACACACACACACACACACACACGTAGATATATATAGATATATACAGAAACACGGGCTTTAACCCACTGCCTTGGGCCTAACCTGGCTTACCTGGCTAACCTTCTCCCAACCTTTCTATTCATATATTCAGTCTGAGAAACTATGAATGGTAAGTTCTGCTGACAACACATGGGAAAATAACAAGTGGGGTGGCGGTCAGAACAATTTATCTGAAAACAATTTTATACTGGAATAGATTATATAAGAAAAAAAGTTTCAGGAAAAGTAATATGACACAGAAGGCTACCTAATGCCAAGGTATAGACATTTAAGAAAACCTCAAAGACAAAGATAAGGTTAAATAAAGAAAGGTTACAGCCTGGCTGGGCGTGGCTCAGCGGTTGAGCATCAACCTAGGATCCAGGTGATCAGGGTCAGGGCACATGCTCGGGTTGCGGGCTCGATCCCCAGTTGGGGGCGTGCAGGAGGCAGCCGATCAATGACTCTCTCATCATTGATGTTTATATCTCTCTCTCCCTCTCCTTTCCTCTCTCTGAAATCAATAAAGATATATTTTTAAAAAGAAAAGAAAGAAGGTTACAGAAGCAGTCCAAGACTAGAGAGAACAAGGAATCCCTAAAAAGCTGGGGCAACCTTTCAAGACATATTGCAGCCCTCCACTAGATACCCTGCATGACAATGCTTGCTTCAGAGTCGGTCAGGCCTGGAAAATAAGCTCTCAAATTTTCCTATCACATTTTATCCTCAGATCCTTCTGTTTACCCATTCATCACTTCCTGGTGACACCTAGTGGTGTCCTTTGGACAAGAGCCGAGTCAGGTCTGTTCACAAGGTGACTATAGAGAAGGATGAAAATACCACGGCTATGGAACAACAATCAAGTACTGCCCAGGATATGGTCTCTAATAAAATGGTTTAAATAAATCAAACTCTGCTCAAGCCTTTCTTGATACTGGTTTTCATAATTACCAGTTTGAACAATGTCAGCAGCAGCAAAGTGATAACCAAACAAGCCTGCCTAATGTCTCTTCACCATCAGTGGGAAAAGGGTGGGATAGCACCCGCCCCCACTCCCCCATACAATAATTACTTCACCTGATGCTCAACCTCTGTCCAGCCTTTTTAATCAGTTGTTGAAGACAGTGAAACCAAAAGTCAAAAGGCAATGTTTTCTTGGAGTTTTCCAGACGATTTATGTAGCTCAGTGATTCTCAACCCTGACTACTCAATGAACTCACCTGGAAATGTCTGAAACAAACAGCAATTGCCTGAGTCTCATCCTCAGACTGAGATCATTTAAAGTCAGGTTTATCCTAGCCACTAGATTACACCACAGAATACTATGCAGCTGTAAAGAAGAAGGATCTCGTACCATTTGGGACAGTATGGAAAGACCTGGAGAATATTATGCTAAGCGAAATAAGCCAGGCAGAGAAAGACAAACATCACATGATCTCATTTATATGTGGAATCTAAAGAACTTAATAAACTGATGAACAGAATAGATTCAGTGACAGGGAGACATGGATAAGACTAACGAATCTCAGAGGGAAGGACGGGTGTGAGAGGGTGGGGGGGGAGATTAACCAAAGCATTTATATGCATATATGCACAACCCAAGGACACAGACAATGGTGTGGAGAGGGACTGGGAAGGGCGGTGGGGAGAGGTGGAAAGGGTCAATGGGGAGAAAAAGGGACATCTGTAATATTTTGAACAATAATAAAAAATAAATAAATAAATAAACAGGCTTATCTACAAATACGTACAGTGTATAATTGTATCAAGTCACAGTGCCCCTTTCTGGCCAACCCCTCCCCCACTTTCAGGCAACTACTCATCTGTTCTCTGCCCTACCTACATAGATTTACCTTTACCTGAACGTTGTATAAATGGAATCATACTGTATGTACCCTTTTCCAGTCTGGCTTCTTTCACTTAGCATGACTTTGAGATGTGCCCATGTTGTTGCATTAACAGTAGTTTGGTATTTTTATTGCTGACTAGTGCTCCAGAGTGTGGGTGTACGGGTTTGTTTATCCAATCCCTAGTTGTTTTTCCCCCATTTTTGGTAATTAAAGCTACTGTAAACATTCATGTACAAGTTTCTGTGAGAACATAAGTTTTCATTAACTTGGGGTAAATACCTAGAAATATAATCACTGGGTAACCGTATCTTTAACTGTGGGAAACTGCCAGACTGTTTTTCAAGGTGGCAGCGCCATTTTGTATACCCACGTACAATGCTTAAGATTCCGGGTACCACATGCTCACCAGCAATTATTTCAGCAATTCTAATAGGTGTCTATCAGTCATTATTTTTGTAATGCTTCACTAAAACATANTTTCCTATCACATTTTATCCTCAGATCCTTCTGTTTACCCATTCATCACTTCCTGGTGACACCTAGTGGTGTCCTTTGGACAAGAGCCGAGTCAGGTCTGTTCACAAGGTGACTATAGAGAAGGATGAAAATACCACGGCTATGGAACAACAATCAAGTACTGCCCAGGATATGGTCTCTAATAAAATGGTTTAAATAAATCAAACTCTGCTCAAGCCTTTCTTGATACTGGTTTTCATAATTACCAGTTTGAACAATGTCAGCAGCAGCAAAGTGATAACCAAACAAGCCTGCCTAATGTCTCTTCACCATCAGTGGGAAAAGGGTGGGATAACACCCGCCCCCACTCCCCCATACAATAATTACTTCACCTGATGCTCAACCTCTGTCCAGCCTTTTTAATCAGTTGTTGAAGACAGTGAAACCAAAAGTCAAAAGGCAATGTTTTCTTGGAGTTTTCCAGACGATTTATGTAGCTCAGTGATTCTCAACCCTGACTACTCAATGAACTCACCTGGAAATGTCTGAAACAAACAGCAATTGCCTGAGTCTCATCCTCAGACTGAGATCATTTAAAGTCAGGTTTATCCTAGCCACTAGATTACACCACAGAATACTATGCAGCTGTAAAGAAGAAGGATCTCGTACCATTTGGGACAGTATGGAAAGACCTGGAGAATATTATGCTAAGCGAAATAAGCCAGGCAGAGAAAGACAAACATCACATGATCTCATTTATATGTGGAATCTAAAGAACTTAATAAACTGATGAACAGAATAGATTCAGTGACAGGGAGACATGGATAAGACTAACGAATCTCAGAGGGAAGGACGGGTGTGAGAGGGTGGGGGGGGAGATTAACCAAAGCATTTATATGCATATATGCACAACCCAAGGACACAGACAATGGTGTGGAGAGGGACTGGGAAGGGCGGTGGGGAGAGGTGGAAAGGGTCAATGGGGAGAAAAAGGGACATCTGTAATATTTTGAACAATAATAAAAAATAAATAAATAAATAAACAGGCTTATCTACAAATACGTACAGTGTATAATTGTATCAAGTCACAGTGCCCCTTTCTGGCCAACCCCTCCCCCA